CGACGCTGCGGTGGGGCGCGTGCATGGGCCTAAAGCTGGCAGCGGCTCCCCAGCCCCCTGGGGAGGAGTGCGGTGGGGAGCTAAGCTGATCATTAGCCCATCAATGGTGCCGTTTACAGGCAGATATATAAGAGCAACACTTGAGTTCCCACGGGATAGTCTCCGTGCTCGTTTTGCCCTCCGGGCATGCAGGCAGCTCCAGCTCCCCTGGGCAATGCCAGGGCCCTGGCTCCGGGTGGCCCCAGGCTGGAGCGCTGTGCTGGGGCCGGCTAGGACAGAGCCGTGCTCGGCTGCGCCGCGCGGCCCGGCAGCGCCCGCTCCGGGCCAGCACCGCTCACGGCTCCTCTTGCTGCCCACAGGTCGCACGGGCCGCTACACGCTCATCGAGAAGTGGCGCGACACGGAGCGGCACCTGGCGCCACACGAGAACCCCATCGTGTCGCTCAACAAGTGGGGCCAGTACGCGAGCGACGTGCAGCTCATCCTGCGGCGCACGGGGCCCTCGCTCAGCGAGAGGCCCACGTCGGACAGCGTGGCGCGTGGCCCCGAGAGAACGCTCTACCGGCAGAGCTTGCCGCCCCTCGCCAAGCTCAGGCCCCAGGCCGACAAGGCCATAAAGCGGAGGGAGCCCAAGAGGAAATCGCTGACTTTCACTGGAGGCGCTAAAGGGTTAATGGACATCTTTGGTAAAAGTAAAGAAGCTGAGTTCAAGCAAAAGGTGCTCAACAACTGCAAGACGACAGCGGATGAACTGAAGAAGTTGATTCACCTCCAGACGGAGAAGCTTCAGTGCATTGAAAAGCAGCTGGAGTCCAATGATGCTGAGATCCGCTACTGGGAGCAGAAGTACAACTCCAGCCTGGAGGAGGAGATTCTCAAGCTGGAGCAGAAGATCAAAAGGAACGAGGTGGAGATCGAAGAGGAGGAGTTCTGGGAAAACGAGCTGCAGATTGAGCAGGAGAATGAGAAGCAGCTGAAGGAGCAGCTCCAGGAGATGAGGCAGCGGATCCTGGAGTGTGAAGGCAAGCTGAAGGAGTACTTGTCTCAGATCCACAATATGGAAAGCGGCCTGGAGGCGGAGAAGTTGCACCGGGAAGTTCAAGAATCACAAGTGAATGAAGAAGAGGTCAAAGAAAAGATCGAGAAGGTGAAAGGCGAAATTGATGTTCAGGGCCAGCAAAGCCTAAGGTTGGAAAACGGCATTAAAGCTGTAGAAAGGTCTTTGGGCCAAGCCACCAAACGGTTACAGGTAAGAACAACCTTTTTATCTATAGCTAAAAAGTTGGTTGTAGTGAGTTTTTAGCTCTGCACAAAAGGCTGTTGTTTTGAAGAATAGCACCTCCCTTTCATTTTTTTACTTGTTGGTGCTCAGAATTGTTCTTTCTCTGCCACAGGCTGTTGTGATATGTATGTCACCAGCAAATTCCATTTCTACTTCCTTGCAAAAGTTACTGTATCACTTAGAATTTAATAGAGTGTGAAAGAGTAAATACAGAATGGAAATCGGTTTTGTAGCAGAGGTGAATGAGAGACTGGCTCTGGGGATCAGACTTCTGGCATTTTGATGTGCCATATGCTGGAGGATGGAGGCTTTGTGCATCAGCTGGGTTGTGTTTCCTGTTGTATTTCCACCATTCAAAGTTACTGTATCCTACAGTAGCACAGCTGCAGCAGTGTGATGCTACTGTGAATGTGCAAAGGGATTTTGCATTCTTGCTCCTGAGCTCCCAGAACCACATGCATTTAAACTGTTTTTATGAAACAAAGGGGGAAATGTAACCTGCTCATCCAAAGCATAATGAAAGAAAGGTGCAAGCCGTTCTGGCCCTACACATTCTGATGTATCTATCCCAAGTTTTTGGAGACCTTACACGAAGGATTGTGCTATTTGAAAATGTCACAAGTCCTTTTTATGTATTTTCACCAATTCTTAGTAATACCCACTGCAGCAACGATTGAACTGCAAGTGTTTCTTGCCCCTTTTTTCCCCCTGTAGCCTGGGGTCTAGCTTTCTCAAACAACTGCCTGTTGTGTTGCCGTCTTCCAGGCTTGTTCTGAGCCTAAAGGCATGCTTCTCTGGAAGGTCAGAAGAAAATCAGTCCAGCTCTATTACATGGGTGTGGAGAAGGAATGAAGAAACATTTTCTTACATATTGAAAGTTTAAATGTTAACATTCATGGAACTAATTACCTGAAACTAGAAAAGTTGTGTGTGGGTTTTGGGATTGGGAGGAGGATTTTTTGCTTAAGACTCAGCTGAAGCACTCTGCTCTCTCTGTTTGTTGAGGAAGAATTTAAATGTCTAAAAGCCACCCTTCCTCCATTTTTTTTTTTTTAAAAAAAAAAACTCGTTAAATTATTTCACAAACAGATATGAATTTAGGAGCTGAAGGCAATTGGATTGGGGGAGAAACTTAACATTTTTACCTTGTTTCCTGTGAAAACTGACAAATGTCAAAAATTGAAAAATGAACTTTTTAGAATGCTAGTTCTACTGCTTTGCATGTTTGCTATTCAAAAAATCTCATGGGACACCAAGCTGCAAGATTAACACATTAGTAAACAAATACAATTTACGAATTTGTCTCCCGAGTACCCAGCTGTAGAATCTAGTGGGTATAAAATAAATTGTGAAGAGTTTTTCTTCAGAATCACCTTAGCTTTTGGAGCAGGCGTGATTCCTGCTTCTCAGTCCTGTCTCTGAAAGTTCTTGGCAAACAAATGGAAATAAAGCACAGAAAGCTGAGACCAGCCACATGATCCAAATAAATTTAAACGGATCTAATGGAAAGGCATCAATGACAAAGTGATTGGCATTTAAAAGGTCTTAACTGAGACTTCAGTTTTGTTATTTTTCTGGCTATTTGTTGAACTCAGGCTCAGTAGTGACTTAGGCGCAAGTTTAAAGCGAGCAGAGGCTTTGCTCTTCATGGGCTGTTCCTAGGACAGATGAGCAAAACTGTTCTCTGTCTGAGCCCCTGTATAACTGTGCGGAGAAGCAGCTTGGCCAGCCTCCCTGTCTTGCTAAAATAAGGATGTGGAATGAGGATGCTGAATGCAGAGGGCCGCAGACACCCCGCGCATGGGCTGGATAGCTGCTGTGAGATGCAGCTCCTTCACTTTATGAATCTAGGAGGGGAACCCTCATTCCAAGAACATATATTGGAGCTGTAGGTTCTGCATATCATGCCAGAATTAGACTGTTGAGGAAGATCACAGGAGATTACAGGAAGAGTTGGTGACCACCCCAGGATTTGGGCTGCATTCTGTGAAGCGCAGCATGCTTGTGAATTACATGGGAATTTACACTTTAAACCAAAAATGCAAAGAACAAGAGAAAGAAAATAAACTCCCTCTAGCAGCAGCAGAGCTTAACAAGTTGTCCAAGTCATGCTGGTCTTTCCTGAAAGAGCCAGGAACTGATGCCAGAGCAATGCTGGGTTGGTGCATTTTTCATAGTGCTAGTTATTACCTATATTTGCTCACTTCTCTCGTGCCAGCATTATTCTCAGATGACAGAAGGAACATCTGCTAGTGGTTCAGGGAGCAACATAAATAGACCAGTAGTAACCCATAGCAGGTAATATTTAGTGCTGATTTGTTTTCTAAATCACAAGAGTAAAATACCTTTTATCGGTCATTTGCACCTGGATTTAAAAATCAGGACTTTCCCACCCAAAGGAGAGCAGTGCTAGTTAGCCTGTTACAGAGGAATTGCTCAAGTGCTGCCTACGTTTGCTGCGGCTCACCGGCTGTTGCTCTCCCCCGGCAGGACAGGGAACAAGAGCTGGAGCAGCTGACCAAGGAGCTGCGACAAGTCAACCTGCAACAGTTTATCCAGCAGACAGGAACGAAGGTCACAGTGCTGCCTGCAGACCCCGTGGAGGTGGAGGCCCCACACGTGGAGCTCGAGAGAGGTGCAGTGCTTGGGTCTTTTGCCCTTCTTAGGTGGAAAGGAAAAGGGGAGGGCGACATGATTACCTTCTGCATTAATACTAGTGCTCATACATCAAGCAAGCTCTGTCTGTTAGCAAAGACACTAGTGTAACATTAAGAGGATGTTGTGTCAAATGCTTCCCTTCCTCCTGAGGGGTTAGCAAGCTATAAATAAACACTGACAACTTATCTCCTGCTGCCTGCTTATCTCCTGCTGCATGCACACACACACACACACACACATGCACACACACATTCGTGCCAGCTGTAACTTGCTAGGTCACTAGTGCCCAAGCACAGCCGCCCTGGCCCCAGGCAGCAAGATGACACGCAGTGTGGGTGCCCATGTGACATTGCTGTAGAGCTGCGTTCCCATCTGCTGGCGGTACGGAAAAGGAATGTGTCTGGATCCTGAGGAATTCCAGACAGCAGCCGCACGGGAACAGGAGCTAATGCAGCTGGGCCACCAGCCATGCACCAGTGCTGCCCAGATGGCTGCTGCGGCTCATGACGTGGCCCGGCACAATCGACGCCGTCAAAGTGGGAATGAGGCAGTGCTCCGGGTGCTCCTCAGAATGGTGGCTCACACAGAAGCTCTGCTGGCACCACAAGGCCTCCTGCCCTGTCTCATCTTGCGCGCAGGGCAGGCTGGAGAGGGCAGTGGAAGGAGACAACATCCACATTCTGATGTTGGCCTTTTAATGATGAAAAGGTTTATTTTAAGTGAGCAGAAGCGGGAGATTCAAATGTGCATAGGCCTGAGCTCTTTCTGCACGTCACTGTACAAAAACCCTGCAGGTTTCTGCATGCTTGTTATGGGCAGGTAGTTATCCTGAAGGTGTGCATCTGCCTTAAGGTAGTAGGAAGTGTGTGCCTTAGATCTCCATCACTTCCTACTCAGGCTCCTCACTTAATGGCTGCATGTGCCATCTTTTTACTGCACCTCACAGAAGCATACCCACAAACAGGAGGATGAGGTGTGTTCTACAAGCATCGCCCTTGAGAATTTTTCTAACTGTTTTCTCTCTTGTGCAGAGACAACATTTCAGTCCGGGTCACTGAAACGCCCTGGCTCATCAAGGCAACTCCCCAGTAACCTTCGGATCCTGCAGAATCCCCTGTCGGCTGGCTTTAACCCAGAAGGCATTTATGTATGACAGTGTATACCTCTTCTGGAGAGGACTGAGAAAGGCACCCCAGACAAGATACACTTTTTATTCTACCAATGATGAGTGGAAGAAGCTTTTCTGTTAAGCCACCACAATTCAATTTTTCTTCTTCCTCTGACACACCACTTGGAGCCATACCCTGTGCACTGATGCTAAAGAACAGAGGACCCATTTCAACTCCTACCTGGCAACAATGAACTTGCTGTCACACAGATAGAGTGCAAAAGCCTTCACTTATTTTTGCCACTTCAGAAGCGTTTGGGAAAGTATTATTCAATGTATAGGCATAAATAAAAGACTGAGCAAGGTGAAGGAAACCGTGTATGCAACTGATCTGAGGTTTAATTTATTCCCTTTAATCAATGGACATGTGAATGTTGACCTTTTATATTTTTATTTTTAACTTGTGAATAACCATGTACTCTGGTACATCAGTCTGACAAGGTGACTTAATTTGTGTACAAACATCCAGTATTTGATCAAGTAGAACAACTTGCAATGCAGAGTGTTTTGTGGAGTGTTGGACCTTTTAAATGTTTTTTCTTCCCACCACTGATTGTGTTAGTTTCTGTTGTGGCTCACACTATGTCACGTCCTATCCATTGCTACCTTTTAAGGCCTGAAAAGTGAGTTTGTGGGATTTACTTGCTGTTGAGTCTGCCTTGACTGAAGCACCTAGTATTCAAAAGATTCATGGAATTTAAACCTTGTCTTGATAAGATATTTCCAGCATATGATTGAAGATGCACTAGTTAGATGATATTTTATTATATAGAATGTATATTTGAAATATTTTGCCACATTGTATATGCCTTTTGAAAAAAAGAACAATGTAAGAAGTTGTCTTCGTATATCTTACCAGATGGGTGGGAGGCTTTCACTGTGTGTGATCTTTGTACTTTATTTTTTCCACTAGCCATGACAGTGTTCTTGTTTTGCAGTAAATCTTGTTGGTAGAGGAGAGAAAAAGAAAACAAATGCACATCCTCTTCCACAATTCCCTCACGTTCTGTGGCGGGAGAGGGTCTTGGGGAGTCAGCAGCAGAGCTTCTCCTGACTTGAGCGGGGCCAGGACTTCTCTGCACACCCCAGTGCTCAGTGGTAAAACTGTCAGCCCCCTGGCAGGGTCTGTTGCTCTCGAGTGCCCTTTCAGAACGTGAATCCGCAAAGAGGAGCGGGAGGAAATCCACACGGCTGGGAGTGCACCTCGTTTGCCTTCTGCAATAGCACATGAAGGGCCTGCATTAATTAGCAATGACGTTACTCTCATGCAGTCAAAACTAACCAAGGTTTAGCAATAAAAAAAAAAAAAAAAAAAAAAGCTCCCATGTGGAGAGAAAGATGCTGCCCAGCAATGTGTTGGTTACAGTTCTTGACCTTGAATTGGTAAAATGGGTGTGAATTTTGTAGAGAGTCACTGTCATGAGGAGTGGAGCCTCAGAGACAGGATGGGGATGTATAAGCTTTGCCTAGTTGTGCTTGGATTTCCTCTTCTGGCAGCAACACGTACAGACATTCACAGCTTTGCCCTCCCGTTGGCATCAGAGGGAGCCACAGAGCCGTTGCTGCCGTGCTTCATATCTAGGTCCCCTGAGCATAAAAATAAGCAAGAGCCTCTGACCCCGGTCAGTGGTGAAATGGTGCTGGGGCAGACCTTCTTTACCACTGGTCAGGAAACTCCAAGCTTTTCACCATAGAAAATTCTTTAAAATTCTTCATTCTTGGCAGCCTCTTGTGTGGATTTACTGATGTGCAGTAAATGTTAAATAAAAGGTGGGTTTGGGGTTTTTTTTTTTGTCATTGTTCGTTTGTTTTTTTTTAAAGGAGCTTCCTAGTCATACTGACACGTGGAAGTTTTATAAGATCTAGCAAAAGATGAAGGACTCTTAAGTGTTCAATACATTTTTTCCATTTTCACTTATTAATGGCATCATATATTCTAAAAATGCTGCTGTATTTAGACTAACAGCAACAGATAAGGCTGTGAATATATAAAGGACCTTTTCAAATGGCCTCTGAATTTTTACTGTTTAACTTGTCAGGTCTGTCCTGTGAGCAAACTGGAAACTGCCATGTTCTTACCCAAGCAGTCTTTGCAGTGCTCACAGATTTTAGTGTTAGTTTATCACAAGTCTGTGCTCATGTTTACTGTGCCCATAACTTACTTTGTATGAAAAAGAGAATGTGTGTGTATATATGTGTGTATGTGTATATATTTATATATATGCACACATTTTATATATATAAATATCAGTGCAAACTATACATAGTTTGGGGACAATATATGTCCAAGGTACTTGAGCATATATGCCTTACATTCTGGGTTCAATTTATAGAAAAAAACAGCCCTCTTGCAGATATTTTGCATCTTTAACACCTTTTGATGTTAGAGAATGGAAGACACTCAGCACCTTGCAACGTCTGGCCCAAATTATGCTGCATGAGGGAGAAAAACACACAGAAAAGCTTGTTCCAAACTCAGTTACATACTGAAACAAAGCATTTTTAAGGCAGATTTGCTAATTTATGCAGCTAGTGTTTTTGTCATGCTTAAAGTGCATCTCCCACAGTTTAAGTTTGAGCTGAGTTGGGCTCTTTGCTCATAAAAACTGCTCTCTTTCTCTGCCAGATTATTCTTTGAAAGGGAGATAGGAGGAAAATGATTTAAAGGGGCAGGAGAAGAGGAGTTTGGGTGGGCATGAGGCTTCCTAACAGAATGCGGGAAGGGTTTCCCATTGCAATGAGAAATGGCCCTTGCGGAGCGCGGCGGGTGGCAGGGGTGGCAGCTCCAGCCGCCCTCGTGGCCAGGGAGGGCCTTTAGTGTCTCAGCCTGCCCCGCGAGGCAGAGGAGAAATGTTCCCCCCACGGCGCTCCTGTTGCTCACTGAACTTCATTCACCTGGGGTAAAGCTCTGTAGCATTTTCACCACCTCTGTAAATAAACCAAAAAGAAATGGCATGTCCTTGCATTATATGTGAATTGAGCAGTGTATTACAACTCTTAAAATTTCTTCACGTTTTAGTGTTAAGAGTTTTGCTTCTGATTGACTTCAGAACCTCACTCTTTTCTTTACAGAAGCAGAAATACTCATTTTCAGAAGTGTTTCACACCTGCTTATGGGGCATTAGCAGAAAGGAAAGTTGCTCATACTAATTTTAACAAGTGCCATATTATGTACTGGCCAGCATGATAAATATGGAGGGTTTTTCTGCATTAAATAGTTGAATACACAAGCACTAATTTTCCAGTGCACAGGGAATTTATATGGAGAACTTTTTACTAATGGAAATTAAATGCGTTACCTCTCGCATCCTCGAGGATACAGTTTATTTTTGCTGATCATGCTACGTTGCTGAGGGAAAGGGAGAGTGAGTGTTGGGAAAGCAGGTAGGTTAAGGCTAATGGGGAAAAAATGACTTCTAAATGCCCAAGATAGAGAGAAACTAGAGTCCCGCTTTGAAAAGCGAGCTAGGAACCTACCTCCCATTATCCTTCAGTGGGACTTAGGCTCCCAAGTGCCTGAATCGCTTCTGAAAATGCTGTGTTAGCTTTCAGATTCCTGGTCTTTCTAAACCCTTGGAAGCCGCTCCAGAAGAAAACCACCGCTAGCTTTAGAAATGCACAAACGTACTTTGTGTGAGGTAAGAGGGAAAAGATCCTTTAGAGAAATAAAAATCTCTTTGGAGGGCAATAATTGCCACCTTTTAGCATACCGTGTTGCATTATTCTAGTGAACTGGGATCACAGGAGGATGAGCAAAGAACTGATCTTGTCATTTTTAGTGAGTTACCTTGAAGCATATAAATTCCTGATGTGCATTAACTTGAGTGAATTGGGCCTTAATGATCCATGTAAATAACAACTGTATTCAGATATTTTTCCAGAAAATAGTCTCTAATGGTCTGTACTGTATTAAAAGAAGTGTCAAAGTGTTACTTTTATATTACACTTATTTTTTTTAGAACATTGAAACATGCATGTCTGTTCTATTTGCTACAGTATTTTAATGTTTTGGATGAAGGCCATCAGCTGTATGGAGATGACAAAACAATCATTCTGTCTATTTATTCAGTATTGCTGCTTAAAGTTTTCAAAATAAAGCTTTCAATGCAAATACAGTGACTGATTGAAAGCTGTTCTAGTTCTGCTCAGATGCTTTTTTTTTTGTATGTTTATAGAAACCTGAATGAGTGAAACTTGGTATATAAACTGTTACAGCAGCAGAGAATTATTGCAATAATGTTGTGGGGAGGGTTGGGTGTATGTGTGCGCAGTATGTACATAAATACATGCCTGCAGTGAAGGCATTTAGGGCTCGAGTAAGTGGAATGCTGAAGAATGTTTAAATCCTTTGCTGTCCTGCAAGCAGCCTATGCACGTGGTTGAATCCTGGTTGATGCTTGATACCAGTGTGCTACACTTACCTGAGACAGAGCAAGTAGCGATGGTCAGAAAGGCTTGGTTAAGTCGGAGCCCTTTGGACCAAACAGGGTTTCTGCACGTTCTTGGGTATGCCAGGGATGTGTTCCTGAAGGCTGGTGCCTCTGAAAGCGTTAGCAGTACTAAGCTCCATTGCACAGAGAGCATCCAGCTGCAGAGAACGTTTACCCCGTGGACCTGAGCATCCCCGAAACTGCTACTGGGGGGCTCACCGGAGGATTTGAGTTGCTGAAGCTTTAACTTTGAGAAGCAATGCAAACTAACTGTGAAAACACAAGGGAGCGTTTTATTACTGCTCTGCTTCAATGCAAGATGAAATTCTGTATTATATGTAACTATTTTTTTTTCTTTGTCATTTCAAAAGCTTCTATTTTTTGATTATTCTCATGAATGGTTGACAAAAGATATTGAATATGCTCCCATACAATAAATTCCCCTCTGAAACTCTGGGTCTTTACAGTTCGTGGTTTGCTGGAATTGCACTGTATATCTCATGCACATCTCATGACGCAGCTTCTAGAACCTCTCTGCATCAGATTACATTTAGTTTGAAAGGAGGCCACAATCCTGTCCTGTGTGCTCACGGTGGGAATGACCCTACTAAATTCATGATGTATATTCAGGAACCCCCAACTTCTCAAACATGTGTTGAGCATTTGGACACTGCACTCCTAAGTGGAAATGTATTTAACTGGGGGAAGGTGGGAGGACCCTGGTGGCTGTGCAGTGTCCAAAGAAGACAGTAGATATCCCCTGCAGGATAGCCTGCACATACCTTATGTTCAGTCAGATATAGCGCAGTGGCTGGAAGGGATGGAAGAGTTTGTTTGCAGCTGAGGAACCGTTACTAGGAGTAATATTAATGCCCAAAAGATGGAATTGGTCAGTATAACTTTTAAAGCACTGGTGCACTGGTTTGTTTGGAGATTCTCAAGGAGGGGAAGTGAATCCAGAGACTTCATGGGAGAGAAGGGAAAAAAATAAAGTAGCAGGTGCCACATACACTTAAGGTAATAGGAAGAACATGGAGCCAGATTCAGGTGAGTTAAATGCAGATTCTTGTGCTGACAAAGGGAGGGCCAGGGAGGATGGTTTCAGCCAAGGCGGCACTGGTGATTTGAGCCATCCAGA